GGGGGGGGGGGGGGGGGGGGGGTGTTATCTGCCACTGCTCTGAACAGTATGGGGAGCCTCAGTGTTGTTGAAAGGGTAGGAAGCCACTTGAATAGTACTTGGCAGCTTTGATATCAAGAGGGCAGCAGGAAGCAGAGCAGCTGTTTGAACAGTCATGGAGAAAAGCCGAGACTGTTCAAACAGCTGGGGCAGCAAGGTCCCTTCATGGGTCCCCAAGAGTCTATCCCTAAGAGAGCTATCAGGGAGCCATCCACTCTCCCTTGGTAGAAGGAAGAAGGATGGGGGACTGTGGAATACTAGGGATACCCATCCTGCCACATGTAACTGAACAGATGTTACACATGGTGCTAGAAAAAAGCAAAGTTGCTCTCTGAAACAGCCAACAGATTGTCACAAAAATACTATGTTTTTTCTGCCACAAATTGCTTAAATGTCTGCTTGTTGACTTTCTGTGCCAGGAAAAAGGTGTTTTGTAATATCTATCCATGGCCTGAGTCATGAATATTTCAGTATGCATGGATTTTAATAAAAAAGAATTCAGAAGAAAAATATGAGGGGGAACAGATAGCTAATTTATAAAATGCTAACATGTACGGCTTGATTGAGCTACTATTAAAAGATACAGTACCGTAAAAAACCTACATGCATAAAAGTGTTTATGGCTATGTACTTTGCTTCTTTGTGGTGTATTCTTAAAAAAGGAATCTCTCCTGAAAGGGAGTTTAAGCTGTAGGACAATTTCCTTAAGGAAATAAGAGGAACCTCATTGTTTGATTTACTTAACATCTGACTGGACAAAGTCAAGAAAATATAGCACAGAAGTAACCCCACACTGATAATTCGATTACATCTAATTTTTATGATCCACTTGCTCAGAAAATAATTTGCAAGTTCCATAGTCCTATTACAATATTTCTCATGTATATCAGGTAAGACAAACTATTCTATTATATCAGAGAGAATCAGAGATTAAGAGCCCAATTTATATTTCATTTTTTAAAAACTGTTCTTAAAAGATTAAACACTTCATCTTACAGATTCTCTCTGAATACTTACAATATTGAGATAAGGTACTAAGACAACAAAAAATGAAAATGAACACAAATGACATCAGAAAACCTGGGGGTGGATGAGTCTTCTGGATGTTACATTGTAAAACAGGAAGTCTACCATGGTACTTCATTAAACTCTTTCTGGAGTTCCTTCTTGAACCCTGGTTTTAGCACCTGTATTAACCATTATTCCCTTAATGCTAAAGGGCATAGATTATTTCAAGAAGGTCAGAGCATCAGTGAAACTTCTATAGCCTTATCTATAAACTTCTCTTGAGGAACCTAAGTACAATGGTCATACAGTGCTGTAACATCATTCATTCAGGCGCAACATTGCTGAAACCTCCTCCAGTGTTCTAGGCTAAACTTGCAGACTGGCTGGCTTTGACATATATGAAAAAAGAGAGTTGAATTATTTGCTAATGAAATTCCCCCTTTATAATGTACTAACTACACTCAGCATTGTAGACAGGGACAAACATCCTTCCCCTAAGCAAAGCTGGCCAAGAGCCTTTAATCCACAGCTCAACAAGGAAGTTTGAGGGTCATGCAATCTGGCAGGCTCATGTAATTAAACTGGAGTGAGAAGTGAGACACCTGGTAAGAGAAGCCGAGTCAGGTATTCTCTCCCCAGTATGTAATGGGAACTCAGAAGGAAAAAAGGATAATACGTGTTAGCGTGCTCCAAGCATATGAGTGGGTACACATCAGGGGAAAGACCACCAATACCACTGCTTTGTGGGGTCTTGATTTAATTGCATTACCATTCTGTCAAAAGCAGATTTTGTTACAGAACAAAAACAATTTACTGAACTCCTTCCTAAACAGGGTGCAAAGTTTTTAAATAACTCAGTACTATTAAATGTGATCTGGAACACTCCAAGGTAATTTTTTTTCTAACTGATAAGAAATGTGGGGTAAACACTAATGTGAAAGAAATACCAACACCTATAACAACGGTCCATTTTTGTTATCAAACTTACCTGCTCAGCTTCCACATAGATGAGTGGAAAACCCATTTGTTTGGTCCATGTATTCATCACAGCAGCAATAGGCTTACCACTGGCTTTCTCCAGGCTTTCCCAAAGGTCCTCTGAAGAAGAGAAGTCATCAGTCAAGATTTCCCCCCTTCCCCCCCCCAACACATACTTCCTAACATGTAAATCTAATGCATATAAGTAGATATTAGAGGTGTGCAAAATGGGCCATATTTGATTTGGATTCGGCCCGAATCGGGGACTGCAATTTGATTTGTTGATTTGAATCACTGTCCCGATTCTATTTGGCCGGATCTGAAGATTCAACGCTGATTCGGAGAATCAACAATTCAGCCATAGATACAGCTTTAAATATTTTGTCTACATACTTATGAACGCTGTGATGGTGGGGTGGATGGAGCTTCCTACAGGAGCAGGAGAGGGCCCCCCACATGCTTGGCAGTGATCCCAGAAGTGGACTGGAAGTATTTCCGGTCCACTGCTAAGCGCGCCAGGGAGCCCCCCATGTTCCTGTGAGACACTCCATCCGCCCCAGCATCTCAGCATTCACAAGCTGCCTGGTACACCTTGAGGTATGTAGAAAAAACATTTAAAGCTGTCTGTCTCTGAATCCTTCCAATTCGATTTGGAGAGATTAAAGGGTCTCCTGATTTGATTCAGATTCAGAGATTCAGCCACCAAATCGGGCCGAATCTCCACCAAATTGAATCAGGGACCAAAGCTTCACACAGCCCTAGTAGATACAGTCAAGGACATTATGTGGGTACCGTCAGGTGTCTTGTTTGTTTTATTTTAATTTAAATCTTGCAAGAAAATTAAACTTGTTTGTTAGTGTTCTAAAGAGCTTCCTTTGTGTTACAGTTCTCAAAAATGGTTTGAATTAAGTATTAAAACATTCAGAACTCCAACAAGTTTCAAAACAAATGCGCCCCCTCCCAACACGCTTTCAGGCATTATGCCCAGAACTTTACTGAACATCTGGATCACCCTTACCCAAAGGACAAGAGCCCCTTATTTTATTTTGGCATTTTAGATTTGAAAGAGAGTAAATTATTACACAGAATGAATGCCAGGATATACTGGACATGACCTTGCTTGAGCTGTTTAATCCCACATGTGATCACTTCCACAAATGGAAAATAACAAAAACTTTAATAATCAAATTATCAACTTACTGTGGAAAAAAGCGGCTCATTAGAAAGAGCCAGCATGAAATTTCTGATTTAGACTATTGCACAAGCATTTTTATTAGGAAGGGAGAGAAGGAGGGTAAATACAGCCCCTTCAGATCACTGTAGCCATGTATTGTAAAGGTTAGAGCAAAGGACTGGGAGAAAGCCAAGAGGATACTGGGCTCTAATCCAGGCTGAGCTACTAACTCATTGTGTGACCTCAGGGGCATGTTGCCTGACCTCCTTGCATCAGCTGGGGAACTGGGTATTTAAAGATATTACTGAAAATTGAATGCTCCAAAGCTAAGCTTCCCGAGTAAAGTACACATAATTGTTGATTACCTGTAGCTGCGTTCTTCTGTTGGAACTTGGTTAAGTACAAATTCATTCCTTTCCGAAAATCCTGAGAACATACAATTAATTGTGTAATTGCACCAGAATGGAGGCTATCACTCTCCACCCACTGTAGCATGCATTTCCAAGGAACCAGCCAAGGATTCCTAGCTTCATCTTACAGGTCACTCCCTTATGTCATGATGCTATGCAGTGAGATTGCCTGAAGCACTGCTGATAGGCAGCTTTCAAGCTCTAAATTCATGTTGAATATTTAAAGAATCATGTTTTGTATTTTCTATATTATTTTCTTTTTTAATTTATTGTGTCCACATTTCTTCCTGAAGTGAATTAGGACTCCCAAAATGAATGGATACATTTCAGAACATAAATATTCAGTAACTATCAATCATAACCATACATCTGCTTTCAGCTGTTCCAGGGTTCTAACAATTTGTATTAAAATTAATTATAAATGTTGTGCATTTATACCTCATCTCCAATGTAGTCATGCAGCATTCGGATTACAGATGCTCCTTTGCTATAAGAAATAGCATCAAATATTTCATCTACTTCAGACGGATGACCAACACTAACCTGGATACAAAGTGCAATTTTAGTGTAGTTGCCCGCAATTCCAGTTCAAATGAGCAGAACAGAAATATCCACATCGGTTGAAACTAAAGGTATTTGCTTTGTTAAGGAGTTAACTATTTTCTTATTTAATAGGATACATGAACCTCTTCTGTCATTAACCTATCCCCATATCTGAATCTCTCATTAAGCCTTCTTAATGCGCCTCTTCAACCTGACCAGTTCACAGATGGCAGGGCTAGGATTGGTTAGTAAGGTCAAAACTTCCCTGTGGTTAGCCATCAGCATCAATAAAACAAGCCTTGAATGCCTTTCCCAGTCTTTTGGGGATCACAGATTACACCCAGAACAGCCATGAGTTTGCTTTAATTGGATCTAGCTGTCCCAAAAATAAAAATAATGGAAAAACTGTTGCTGATAAAGCCACTGGGAAAATAAACTTGTAAGGGCACCACCCTGGGGGTAAAATCAGTACTCCACAAATATCCAGAATTCATTTTTATGCAAAGCAGGGTCAGCTACTACATTAATCATGTCTTTAAGTAGCAAGGCGTTTGGCTGAGCACTTGAAACACTATGACACATAATGAAGACTAGACTCTATATATCAATCAGACCCAATAGCTACTACCTCAATTGTAGAAATAATAAACTGTTAAACAGGCTAATTTTAAGTAAAATGTATTCATGCAAAAAGTGTATATAAACAAAAGTGCCAGAACAGCACCCCCAGGGTTTACATTCCTACCCGTTAGTAAAAGAGGTCCAGAATAAATGGTGACAACCCAAATTTCTTGATTCTATGCTTCAAAGCCCTGACTTGAGAAGGACCATATCTAAGAATTACAGGGAGGTTACCTTCCTTCAGCATATTTTTACCCTCATTGCTAAGATTCAAGATGGGTAGCAACAATTCCTTCCAATGCAGGAAAACACCAAGTAGAAAGCTAAGTAGGAAGCACTGGAACACGTTACCCAGAGAAGTGGTGGAATCTCCATCACTGGAGGTGTGCAAAACCTGGCTACACAAAGCCTGGCGTGGGATGACACAATTGGAGCTAGTTCTGCTTTGAGCAGGGGTTTGGACTAGATGACCTCCTGAGGTCTTTTCCAACCCTAATTTTCTGTGATTCTATGATTCTTTTCCCTTCAGCCAGAGAAAAGCCATGAGTTGATAATAAGTTTTGTTGCCGCTTTCCCAGATTTGATCCAGCTGTTCAGAAAAGTATAATGGTTCTAAAACCACCATTATAAAATCCCTGAGCCACAGGCTCCTTATATACTAGTTTTATTAGAAGAGTCTTATTAACAAAAAAAATCACCAGGTATTAAAAACAGTCAAAGATTTTCCTTTACTTTATGAATGCCTGTGTACAGTTCAGTTTTTGGCTAGCATGGGAAGGCTCTTTCCCAGAGTTCTAGTCTAAAGCAAAACAAAAATATCAACATCAGGAAACTCACCTCAATGGGATGACTGTTATCCAAGGCATCAAGCTCTTGAGCACGTGTGTAATCAGCAGAAACAAACTGAGTCCAGATATCATACTCTGGGAAACAGTGGTCTACACACAGATACTCAATCCAGGAAGCAAATCCTTCATTCAGCCACAGATGGGTCCACCATTCCTGGAAGGACAAGACAGGAATACAATTATAAAATAATCACTAATATCACTTAATTAAACTACCTTCTACATCTTCAAAATTTTACAAACATTTGTGGACAGAATTAACCCTACTACAGAAGATTCTACCTAGCAACTGTCTGCTAGGCAAGATGCTCTTTCAAAAGCTCAAGGAAGACAGGGGTACTGCAGCTAGTACCAATTTGGAAGCAGAGCCACTGAGTCGAAAGAAGTCGGGACTGATGAAATTCTAAGTGGCAGGCAAGGCTGTCATTCAGTAAAATGACTGAATCATAGGGTACCCAGAAAATGATGCTAACTAAAGAAAAGCCTCTATCAGTCATAGTTACAGAAGAGTCTTTATATTAATAGTATGCTTAAGTACGACTAAAAAAAGAGTCTAGTTACCTGAGAAAGAGGGAGTACTGTGTTTTAGATACTGAATGCCTGAAATCTAATTTTTTCCCAAAAGAAGTTCAAAGTATTTAATTTTTATACCTACCGGCAATATTTGCCTTTTACAATAAAATATAGGTAGATAAAAGTCCCTCTCCCTCACCCACTGCTAAAAGAGAAACTGTTCAACTGTACAGTGTGGGAGATAAAGAAACTGACTATATCCAAAAGTTGCCTTTGAGAGAAAAAAGCTCCTCCCTTTTTGCCTTGGTAGTTATGTTTCTCCCTGCTTTTAAAATGAGAACTAGGTGAATTCAGACAAATGTGCGATTTCCTATATTCCTTTTAGGGGGAGAAATTTAAAAAGGATGCAGAGTCAACCCAACAGATGTGCAACTACAAAATACTATCACTTCCCTGTTATGAATAAAGCAGATCATTTGGAGGGGAAATTCAATAAGGAATAATTGTTACTGAAAATCACCACAGATAAGCCCGAAGTTTTATATTTAGAGTGGAGGCCATCCAATTTTTCCTCAGGTTCCGACTATATCTATTTCCAAGACTAATTTCCATGGCATAAATGCAGGACTAGTTCTGAAGGATTAATACAACTGTGAAAAATGAAAAACATTCAAATTGTGCCTTAAAAATTCCCAAGACATTAGTGGGTTTTTTTCTGAATTAATTTTATGAAGTCTAAATGACTGCAGTCACAACCTACAGCTACACACAGCTCCCCAACCCCAATGAAAACTAAAAGTTAAGGGCTGAGAGAAGTCTAGTCTTCCTGCTCAAGCACCACCCACTTAGTTCTTAAGATTTTTCCTTTCTAATCAATTTAACATAGGTGTTAGAGAAGTGGCATTGGAGGGCTGCACTGTCTGTTAAGATCCAATACTGGCACACTGTAAGCATGACTGACACTTCCTGTAGTGCAAATACCTTTACTCCAAAGTGTGCAGCAAGTTACCCATGTCAGACATGTGCAAAACATTCAGCCAAGCATTTAATGAGTGGGAAATAGAAAGACTGTTCTGCATCACAGAATGCTATTCAACTTAAAATGGGAACATAAGAAGAAAAAAGGTTTATGAAAGGCATAAAGCTTCAAAAGGGGAAGAAAAGGCTACTATGATAGAAAACTTTAAAAAATAACTCGTAAATTATACTTCTTTGCTAAATTCTCTCCTGCAGTGGTTTCATGGGCCACTGGTGGTTCCTCCAAAGTACTTTTTGGTGGTCAGGAGTTGGTAGGTCACATGATTCTCTCTCATCATTTTCAGCTGCATAAAAAACTAAAAATACATATCCCTTCTAAGTCTACTTTTCCATATAAATGCTCGCTGTTGTTGCAACAGGGATGATGCTTAGTCTCTAATGGGAGGAATCCTGTGCAGAGAAGGGGCCATATGATTTTTGATTAAGATGCACACCACACTGTGGAAAAGTTTAAGAACCCCTTGGCTTTACTGCAGCCTCTGTTTTAGTGATATACAGATTTACCTGCTATCCAAGTCAATCTCTCTATTTTGGCAGCCCAAAAGCCCCAGCAAGGAAGCTTTGTTGGCTCCAGAAACTGCATTCCTTTCACCACAGTGTTTCTAGTTCAATTACCAAATACACTATGCTTCTGGCAACACAAATAGCTTTTCAACATTTAATGTATTTGGCTTCCAAGCCCCCACTTGCAGGGTGTTTTTTTCTTGGGGGGGGGGGGG